CAACAATCAACACATATACTAATATAGTGGTGAATTCGAATAACAATGTTTCAAAACAATTATGAGAGGTACACAAACAATTATTTTTTTTCTTCAGCAATTTGTACCCAGAAACATCAAATATAAATGAAATAAAGGGGTATTAGGCAGTATATATATTTTTTTGTATTATTTTATAAGATAACAAGACGAGATCAGAAATTAATCTATGACCTAGTAGTCACAGCCGGACTCCGAGCCCCCATTTGTCAGGTTTAGGATTTATTTGGGTTGTTAACTAGCTGTATACTATTAAGGTCCCGGGGTCAACCTGACAAGAACATCACTCACACACAGTCGTACATACAGTAACCAACTAGGTGAATAGTTTAAATAACAACAAAATAAATGAATTTAATTGTGTGAAACTGATATATGTGTATGTACAATGAGGATGATAAAATAGACAATATATATATTGGATATATATATATATATATATATATATAATAGGTATATATAAAGATATTATTCACTAATTAATTTAAGCACCTTTGCTTTTGTCACCCTAGTTACATAGTCCACCAGACTCTGACCGACTGGCGTCACAAAAACTGCCAACCTCGGTAATAGTAAAGTTAGACCTCAGATGATCGCCAATTTGACAATGACACTGAAAAAAACTGAGACGGCCAGCGATGCCCACAACTCCAACACTGGCACCCTATAAACGAAATAAACAATACTCTCAACTTCTACACTAAAAAATAGAAATAGTGACAACCTCATACAACATACAATAATAGATATCACAAACGAATAACTCACCCTAAACAGGGGTCTCAAAAATCCTACTGAATAATAAGTCCGAGAAACTAGTACAGACAAAGAACGTTTTACGGGCCAACACACCGTCCGTTTCAACCAAAGAGGGTGAACTGCCTCATGACAAAAGAATGACCAATAGATGTCACCGGACTTTGTGACGTAGCAAAACAATTCAAAACAAAAAAATACAAGACACTCTCGCCCCGTACAAGTACTACGACTAGAGAAAATAAAAAAAAGAAAACAGTTAGGAGAAAGAAAAAGACACTTGTCTATACTACGCGACACTAGAGATGTTGGCAGGCAGGGTTCGAACCCGTGACCATCATATTACAGGAAAAACAGCAATTATAAATATTAATATATTGAGAAAGAAGATTTTAACATTGAAATGCATTTATTTGAGAGGCGTGGTGGTTGACTTGTAAAGCGCTTGGCTTCCGAACCGGGTGTTCCCGGGTTCGAATCCTAGTGAAGTCTTTAATTTTTTTATTTCGGGATCCTTAGGGCGCCTCTGAGTCCACCCAGCTCAAATGGGTACCGGATGTAAGATGTGTAAAAGTAAAGGGGGTTGGTCGTTGTGTTGACCACATGACACCCTGCTCGTTAACCGTGGGTCACACAAAAATATCACCTTTACATCGTCCTGCCCTTTAGACCGCATGGACTGAAAGAGGAACTGTACTTTTTGTATATACATATATTTGTTTGACTTAACTTATCATTTGGGTAAAAAAAAAAGCTCAAGGAATGTCATTCGTTCTGAAGAAGTTTGTCTGTAGACTTTGATTGACAGGAAATATGTGTAGCGTTAACATTTGTATGTTAAAGTGTAGCCTTTGTATGTAAATTAAATATTATTACTGTCACGGTGAGGCTGCTGCATACTCCCCCTACGAGCTACTACATAGTGATCTGAGAACATTAGACTCTTTTGAATTATTATTAACTCAATAGATAACTAGGAATTTATATTTTAATAGATATTTCAATGGTGTTTAGAGAATACACATCGAATGTTTTATATATCCATTCTTTTTCATGCTTCTTAGTTGTTTTAAATAGCTTTCAACACTCATTCGCACCATTCCACATTATCACCATTCCACATTCGCACCATTCCCAATTCGCACCACTCTACATTCGCACCATTCCACATTCGCACCACACTGAGCATAGACCATAACAAAATGGCTAACCCAAAGTCGGAATGTTTTCAGAATGTGCTGGAAAGACCATTTTTAAAAATCTTATTTCGGCGGTGGTGCTTGCATTTTTTTTAGCACTTATATTTAGCAAATAGATTCTCTCATCTCTATATGTGTATTTCTAGTCTATTTAGTCTGGTGTTTATAATGAACCAGTTTTTTTTTCTTTCAAAATATAAAGAAATAAAAAACATTAAAGCATATTGTAAGTAGACATTTTTATGACAGGAAATAGTTATCTGTCTCAGTTAGAACTCTCCTTGGTATAAGCTACGTTTAGTTCTTTTATTTTTTTCATTCTTTAATTAAAGGTATTAAAGGTCTGTTCTTTCCGAAGCTTAAAATTATATTTTTTAAAGATGTTTCATGTCCGGTGAAGTTACTAGTTTAGTATGACTAAATAAAAAGTTGATATTTCTTTCATTCATCATATTAAACGCATTTTTTTTTGTTTAGTAGTCGATGTTTGAAATGAAGCGATAAGTATCATTGAAGGTAAATCTTTGTTGTGGAGATAATTACAAGAGTGTATACTTGACAGCTGATTGGGTTGATGATAGACATATAAGGGTGGATGATATTGTTACCACGTGGGATTGAACTAAAGAAAGTAACTCACCGTGCTCTCAGGATCTCTGGTATCTCTCCGATTGCAGAAGCACAATCCAACTATGATCAATTAATATCCCCGATAAAAGAAATAATATCACAGTCTCCAAATCGAATTTACATATCCCGTTTCACTAACACAATAGAAAAAAACAAAACAATCCTCAGTCTAGAAAACAAAACTCATAACTCCCCTGTTAACACATCAACACAGGCCTCAGGTTAGTTTCTCTACAAGCACAAACAACTCAAAAATTTTTTCAAGTGGCAAAACAAAAGATCAGTTGACGGAAGGGAACAAGTTGGCAACAACATGTTAGTATTTATGCTACATGTCTTATAGATCTTACTTAATGCAGGTACTCTTCGAATTCTTTTAGAAAACTTTGTGTGATAGCATTGTCGAAAGTTTACAAATTTAATAAATATAAAAGTATATAGATGACAGATTAACTGAAATGGAAGAACTGAGGTAAGAAGAATACAGGTTACTACAACCTACTATACAAGTATAATTTTTGGTGTTGGTATCTTATTTTATATACGGCCATCACTCGGTGCTATCCGGCTCTTTCTAACTACACTGTTTTGGTGTGTATGTGTGTGTGTTTTTCCAAAGTAATGACGAGGAAGAAGCATTTTTTTTTTTTGGCTGACGATTTTCTGATGAAATCACGGCATGGTCTGTCATAAATGATGGTCATAGAAGTCTTGCGTGTGAGAGTTGAACGGAAGACGAATCAGAGACGTGAGACAGTAAAGACGTGTATTTGTTATGAGTTAGATTTTTTTGCTTAATTTATCTTTTTTTTTCTCATTTATGTTTCTACTAGATCTTATTTCAAGTTGAGCAAATAAAAGTTGTATGAAGTTTTGCTATTAAGTTATTTAAAGTCATTTCATTAAAAACATAATGCGTCTACATCGATGTAGTTTGGAGCTATAAACCAAAGACCGAGCAGCATCCCACAAAAGGCATAACACCACATGGTTAGTTTTCATTGGGACCCGTAACCACCTTGCAAGATAGGTATTAGGCCCCTAGTCCAAAAAGGGTTGGACATTACTGGGTTAAAGTCAAGGCATAACTCGACACAACAGCCTACAAAACTTTGAAGACATTCTATTAGGGTTAAATTACTAACACGCCACCACAGAAAGTTATGCAGAAATATCCTTATAATAAGATCAGAACACACACACTCACATACACACACACACGCACCCACATACTAGACTTTGAATGAAAAGAAGAAAGTAAAAAAAACTTGAATGGCATTGCACTGAGACTTGATCTCGATGTTATTTGGTCTTGGGAGAACATTGCTAAACATAGACGCAGATGGAAACATTGAAACAAATCGCTGAAGTCTAAACGGAGAAATAGAAAAAAAACAACACATTATGAGCCATCCTGTTTTTTTTAACAACTTAATTTCATTGTTATCACAAAGTCATAGGGACAAAAGCATAGAGAAACTACATACGTATATAACTATATACGTATATAACTATATACCTATATAACTATATACCTATATAACTATATACATATATAACTATATACCTATATAACTATATACCTATATAACTATATACCTATATAACTATATACCTATATAACTATATACCTATATAACTATATACCTATATACCTATATAACTATATACCTATATAACTATATACCTACATACCTATATAACTATATACATATATACCTATACACATATATAACTATATACCTATATACCTATATACATAGATAACTATATACATATATAACAAAATAACTATAAACCTATATACCTGTATACCTATATAGCTAAATTATATACATATATACCTATACTCCTATATACCTATATACCTATAGAAGAGACGTAGAAAAATAATGTGAAAACATTAAAAGAGGAAAAATGAATTACAGAAGACAAAAAGAACCAATGAAAACAAATGAAATGGTTAATTCAAAAAACTTATCCCCTCCTTTATTTATCAATCTTCGCCCTCCCCCCCCCCCCCACCAGAGAAAAATATTTCCGACAAATCTTATAAACAAAACTAGGCCTATCATTTTTTTTCCAGAAAACCTTCTTTTGAAACTTAAAAAAAATTATTAAACCTCTTTCTTTTTCAATTCATTCTTATTTGTTACAAAGCTTCTATCAACTCTCTTTGTCTGTTTGGTAAAAAGTTTGTACTTGTTTTTTCTCCCACACCCAATCTCGGATCAAGCTGCAAATTTTGAACAAAAAAATATTACTTATACCTGACTACAAAAGAATTAATTAAAAAAAATTAACGAACTACTAATTAATTATTTTGTTTAATATCGAAAAATGGAAAGAAATTGTACTTGACTGGTGTGGTGGTATAAATTGAATTATCCTCCTTTATACTTTCTTGGTCGCCGCTTTAAAGTATGAAGCTAACAATAATTAACTATAAAATCTCGCTGGCACAGTGGTTAGTGTGTTGGCATGTGGAGGCTTCAGCCATCCAATTCTTATTCAGGTCTTTCAACATTTTTTAAAAATGCATTTAAAAAGCGGTCAAGGTAACATTCACAACGGTCCCCCTTCTTTCTCCCCATCCCCTACCTAACAGGTCCAGACAAGTGACAGGATCACAGCATATCGAGAAAGCTAAGAGCAAGCACTTGAGCTAAACAAAAACGATTGTTAAAAAATATTTTTAATCACAGAGATTTATTATTGTGAGTCTAGATCCACTCCAAATTTAATTAAATAACCAATCCAAACTAATTAATACAATTACTTAAATAAGTTGTTTTTTTTAAATATATTTGTGATATTTTTCTCGTTGAGCCAAAACATTCTTCATAAAGTGAAAGTCAAAAACTCCACAAAATGAATCATTTATCTCAAGCTAAAATTTCGCACCTAGAAGTTGAAAGAGCATCCCTGTAATGACGCTAATTACGAAGGTTCGTCCATGCTGACCAATTATTTTTCCTTTATATTTTTCAATGACAAATAAAATATGAATGTTTAGCTGACTATTCGAACATTTAGTTATAATTGATTTAAAAAAAAACAACTATATTACTTCTTGTTTTCACTATTATAACTTGCTTATCAAGTATCGAATAAGTGACGTCATTACGTAGGGAGTTAATCTCTTCGTAATTGTCATTCACAAAACATACATTATACAGAAACCAAGCACGAAAACATACATTATACAGAAACCAAGCACGAAAACATACATTATACAGAAACCAAGCACGAAAACATACATTATACAGAAACCAAGCACGAAAACATACATTATACAGAAACCAAGCACGAAAACATACATTATACAGAAACCAAGCACGAAAACATACATTATACAGAAACCAAGCACGAAACCATACATTATACAGAAACCAAGCACGAAAACATACATTATACAGAAACCAAGCAAAGACTGTTTTTCAATGTTATATTATTTTTTTAATGTTTCAAAATTTTGTCTATTTTCTCCATCCCCTACACCTAACCCTTAGTCTGTTGGACCGTTAGGGCACCACATAAGATTTGTCTACCGTCTTTCTCTATTTCCTCTGTCTTTTGTCTTGGATAGAATTTCTTTCAATGGCAGGCCCGTCTATTTCTTTATGTTGTCTTCCCATTGCTTTCTCTGTCTGCCTCTTCTTCTTTTTCCTGTTACTGTTCCTTGAAGGAAGGTCTTTGCGAGCCTAAAGACCTTGTAATATTGCAATAGAGTTTTAGTTTGCGTTTTTTTTACAATAGTTAGCAGGTCATCATAATTGTTCGTCTTCAATATACAATTTTAAATTGCTTTATAAAGATAACATAAAATATTGCAGACATTCTTTAACCTCGGACTTGAATGCAGTGTCTTCCTACTTCTTGCTATTAACGTTAATAAGATGTTCATCTTAAGGTTATCAAAACTTACCTTTTTAAATCATAAATCTTATACACTATATACTCGCGCGGATAACTGATATTTTTATTGTTACACTTTATTCGAGCAGACTAAAACAAACAATCTAATTACTTTAGAAAGCAAAAAAAAAAAAAAAAATTGTTTTAAAACTCTGAGAATAATTAAAATGTCCCTTGTGACAGTTCGCTTAACCAAATCCCTCCACTTTTCAGGTCAGCAGTGGTTCTTAGCAGGATAGAGGCCGTTGTCCACACACGTTTTTCTTGGGACGACCCTTTTTTTCGCGCTCCCTTCCACTCTACCTGGAAGGATGACTTTTAAAAGTGAGTCATGTCATGCCGTCAGACTATAGGACCGAACCAGCTCAGCATTTTTCTTTTCACAGTATTGAGGAGTTCCTCCTTTTTGATAGCCAGAGTGTTGCCTTGTAAAAGTACAAACTCATTTGTTCTGTTTTCCTGGTGTGTGATAGCCAGCTATTTCCTGTAGCATTTACTCTCAAAAGTTTAAATTCTTCTTTTAGCCTCAGAGTTCAATGTCCAACAGTCACAACCATATACAGAAACCACTAATGAGGAATGCAGTTTTAAGTTTACAGTTTGCTCATGACGCCGGATCCCCAGATACACATTTTCAAAGGGTTTTTATCTTTTCGATTGACCCTCCTTCTGTATCTGGTTAAGTTTGACCTTAGATATGTACATGTCACAGACTATTGGCCCTGGAAAAGTTGACCAGTGTATTTTAATGGTCATCTCTATGTGTGGAATATGTAGAATATTGGCTTTCCACTGCCCATGTGGATCACATAAACTATCATTTAGTGGTCATAAACATAAACGCATAGTTTAGCAGCTTGATCAGGTCGGCATAGATAAACAACTTAACACATCCTCTTCCGAGTATTACATTTCACCTGCTATTTGTGGCAAGACACACTCGCTCCTGCATTCCCCTGCTCATATCCCCTGCTGACAGGATTAACTCAGGTGTTACTCAGGCCACGCCCTCTCACGTGATATCCTCTGGAGCAGGATTAAAGGATTAAACGATTACAAACATCCGACTTCCGGAACAGCAGATGGAACTGATTGAATCCGAGCTTGTTTTGATCAAACCCAATCAAAGACAATCTCTAAGGCCATCAAACACGTCATTACATCTCCCTGACCCCTCCCCATTTTATCTCAATATTTATTTCCTTTAATATATCTTCCTTCTTTTTCAATAAGATTAAATATACTTTTGCAAGGTTATTTTTTTAAGACTCCGTGTCAATAATTATGAAATTTAAATTAAACTTTCGCATATGGAGATAACATTTCTATAATACGCTCATAACATCTTCTTAAAGTCGACTCGATCGACGAGCATAAGGGAACATCTGAATAATTAAATATACATGATAAAGTAGTTAGATCTACCTTTAAACGTTTCACACTAAGTGGCAAACTTGAATATTTTATAGAAAACTAAGCGGTGCTTTAAGAAATAAGTCACAGTCTTGAAAACGCATTAAAAAAAAAGTTTCGAGAAATTAAAATTTTTCTTCTGTTCAAAGAAATTTCTATCATTACCCTCTCGCCAATCAAGGCGACTCAGTGATGCGTGAGTTTCGTAATTAGAAGTACATGAATTATTTGGACAAAGTTAATTACTTTGAATATACATTAACATCTTTAACGCAGAAGTGGTAAAAAAGCTAAATATGCTAAAATGTATATGTCAGCTAGTTTCAATTTGATTTGAATTTGATGAAGTCGTTTTTATTCACTTGTTTGAAAGTCAATTTCTTCTGTAACCCTCAATATCAACTCATTAGCAAGAAGTGACAAAAATCCAAGTCTCCAAAAGAAAACTCTTTTTTTTTCCTCTATTCGTCAAGTTAAAGTTTTATAACTTTTGGTAAATATTATAGTTAAAGAAGATTCATATTTATGTAACTAACATTTAGTTTAACAATTTTTAGATTTCAGTTCTCGTCTAATCTCAACACAGCAGAATAGCAATGTGACACATGAAGACAACAAAAAATATTTAAATTAAAAAAGATTAAAAAAAACAACAACAACAACAGAGCGTTCTAGTTCTAGCCCAACATGATTTAACCTGGAGTGCACGCTGAACTCAGTAGCCAGGTGTGATTGACGGTCGTTGACTTGAAGCACCAAACAACTAGTAGACAACTAAACCGCTGTAGGCGTATTATGTCTTAACTAAAAATAAGATTTGTCTTCGTGTCCGAAGATCAATGATGAACGCAGTACTTCCCGTGGCTACGCAGCCCCAGCTGTGACCTACATATTTTTCCACATCTAGAGCAGGCATAACCATTGTCCGCCGGTGGTCAACTTAGACTTTCTTTTCGCCGTCTACGTTTGTCCTCGACAGCGGATTTTCTTTTGGTCTCAAATGTGTATCCTCACGGCCTTTGTAAGTGACCTACAGCTGTCTCGTTCTGAAGCCGCATCCAACAAGGTGCTCTCTTCTATGTCTGTTAAAGGTTAAAGCAAGTTGGCGCCTAAGTTGGTCTTTAAAGCGTTTCCGTGGGGCACCTCTGTGTTACTTCGACCACATTTCAGCTCACCAATAAAAAAAAAAAGACTACTTAACTAATATCTTAACTAGTAAAACTTGGAACTAACGTGAATAACTTCCTTGTGAACAGTACTAAATATACATTTAAAGAGACAAAGTCAACATGATATGAACAAAAATGTACTAAACTTAAGTAATAATATTTTTTTAAACAAAATTCACAACAATAACACACCGTTTCAGCCTCACGTTCTGTAGTCGTCTTCCCTAACTAAGACCAAGTGACGCAATGCCACCTATCTTGCATCATTCACAACCAATCGCCAACTTCTTCCCACTGTCACCATAGAAACACACATACATACTCCGGCCATTTGTTCAGACATCTCGATAAAGTTTTCTGCTAAGAAGGAGGTAGTCAGTATTCTCTAGAGACACTCCACAGGGGCGGCACGCTACCCCATTATTTTGTGTGTGTAGTCAGCATTCTCTAGAGACACTCCACAGGGGCGGCACGCTACCCCATTATTTTGTGTGTGTAGTCAGCATTCTCTAGAGACACTCCACAGGGGCGGCACGTTACCCCATTATTTTGTGTGTGTAGTTAGCATTCTCTAGAGACACTCCACAGGGGCGGCACGTTACCCCATTATTTTGTGTGTATTTCTTTACATTTCACCCAAATGTTCTGTTTTTTTTTCTAAATGGTTCTCCCCGTAGAGAACCTCCCATTTCTTTTCATACTGCTGTTTCATCATCCTTTTTGTTACATAGAAAACTGAACACGCCTACATAGAAAGCAACGATTCGTAGGTGTGAGATTATATAAGAATGGTAGGTCAATAAGTTCTGAAGCAGGAGGGAATGAATCTTGCTTCCATTCATGTTTCAAGGAGTTCTGTGTCATTGATTTCACATTGTCCTGGCCTTCAGATGTTTATTTACCAATCAATAAACCTTTACAATATGAAGCTGCTTTATATGCTGTTTTAACAACAAAACTAAAAATCGTACTTTAATTATTATGTTTTAAACAAGGAAAAAAAAAGGGTTAGTTTATTGAACCAGGGAAACTACAGAGCCACTAAGACAACGACTTATCTTCTTATCTTATATAATACAGACATTACCTTAAAAAAAGAAGATGATTACGTCCTACGCGTCATGCATTCAGTCATGCATATTAACCAATGACTTAAATTCTGCCAAGTCACTGATTTTCCTGGCTAGCTCAGGCAACCCATTCCATGCTCTAATAGCACTAGGGAAGAAGGAGTATTTGTACAAATTTGTCCTAGCATATGGGATTAGGAATGTGCCTTTATCTTTGTGTCTTTCAGAGTATTTTATTAGATTTTGTTTTTGTATTTGAAGATTATGGTTCAGTGTTTTATGTATAATTGCTACTTTACTTTTGAGTCTTCTGTCCTGAAGGCTTTCTAAATTTAGTGATTTTACTAAAGGTGTTACTCTAGTCAAATGTGAATATTCGTTTGTTATGAAT